CATTTTATTAAACTCACAATAATAGTACATATAAAATATATTACATAATAATATTTATTTTTATATATTAATATTATTTGTTTAGAATTTAGGATTATGTTCATCCCACATCATCTTTATTCTCAGACGCTTCATCTCCATAAAAACTTTCTAAACAAATGATGAATTCTAATGCGAAATATTCTAGATTCGTTTACATATTTTACTGTGAAATCGGGTAGACATGGCAGTATCTGTTATAATTAGTGGGCTGTAGGCAAGCAGTAGAATATAAGTGATGGATAGCAATGCCGTAATGTAAATATATTGTCGTTGTTGCCGCAGCACGGCGAAGAATGAAACGTTGTTCTCGTTGTTGCCACAGCACGGCGCTGGTGCTCATCCAGTCGGGAGCGAAGTTTGACATCCAGGCGAGCATTCCAGAGCGCAGCGAGAGCGGGGAGGAGCAGCGTGCGCGGCAGCAGACGACGTGGGTGTGGAAGCCAGCCGTGCCGAAAGCTGCCGAGCCGGAGAAGTGCTCTCTGCTGCAGGTGTGTGGGCGAGCACACCATTGACGCACGCATACTTACGTGTGCGTGGGCGAGCACAATGGCTTTTCCTCTTCGCAGCTAGTGCAGGCATCCCTAGTTCTTGTCATTTTTGTGTGTGTGCATGCACACAGACACATGTGCGTGCACACGCCTGCACACGCGTATATTCTCGAGTATTATTGCATTGTAAGCTTATCTATAAATATCCGAATAACTACAGTGGAAATTAACGAAAGGAAAGAATGTGATATGTAAAGTAAAGGAAAGACCAAAGCTAAAAAATCGAGATTTGAGCAGGAAACGCATCGTGCACCACAAGCGCTACTGTCGTTATACCCAAAAGCTCGGATCTAGTCATTGGCATTGATGTTATCAGGAGTGTATAATATAGACTAATCTATAGACTAATCTATATTAGTATCATCGCCCGAGTGATTATAGGAAATCATGCGCGCTGATTGGTCGAGACCTAGGTGATTATTTTTCGATAATCACCTCTAGGGTTTACATTGTAGTGGCGCCAAAAATGGCGGCTAGATTTGTAAATGTTACGGAAGCCGAAATTGACAAATTTAAAGAAAATGCTGTACCCAAAAGTCCCAAAAGTCGGGCAATGATATACTAAAACAATTATACACTCCTCATGTTATTATGATTATCTTGTCTCTGCATACATGCACAGTGTTGAATGCAGGGTGCTTGTTTCAGTTGGTCATCGACAATGAATGGGAAGGCATTCGGTTTCTCATGCTGGACAAGCTGCTATCTGCAGGTCTTCGCTATCACACTGTGGTTGAGGTGAGAGCCTGTATATGCTACTTCATATACGTTACTATATATGTATGTGTGTATATCTACGTATGTATATATATGTTATTTCAGGGCAAGGAAGTGAAAGAGAGAGGAAGAGATAGAAGGAGGAGGGGAGGGTCGGAAAGAGTTCAAAAGAGACAGATCTAGAGGGGCGAGAAAGGGAAAGAGAGAGAGAAAGAGAGAGTTGTTGTTGTTGTTGTTGTTGTTGTTGTTGTTGTTGTTGTTGTTGGTGGTGGTGGTGTTGGTGGTGATGGTGCTGGAGGCGGTGGTGGCAACGAAGCTGGTGGTGGTGGTGTTGCTGTTACTCTTGCTCTTGTTGTTTTTCTTGTTGTTTGTGTCGGTGGTGGTGTTATTACTGTTGCCACCAACATCATTTCTACTAACAACATCATTCTGCCAGCAACCAATTCTGTTTTTTTTTTACTAAAGGTGTTATATTTATTGTTATTATTCCTTCAGTTGGTTGTGTTATATATTCTTGAGAAAACGTGAGGCATCATTGTTGATAATCACCTTTCTATTGCTAGTAACACTATTGTCGTTAATGCTATTGCTGCTACTGTAGTAAATTTTGGTACTTTTGCAGTTGGATGCCGGTTGCAATCCAAACCTGCTGTCGAAGAGAAGTCATGAGGAGGGCATGTCACCGCTTCTGCTGGCTGCAAAGTAAGTTGCAACCTGTTCTCTGATATATTCAGTTATCTGCTCAAAATTCACCTTGGCTAGTGCTGTGGTTGGCCTCGTAACTTGACACGGTGCCTCTGAAACTGATGTTCGTGACAATGAAACGCCAAAGTACGAGCGAAGAAACGTCTGCGTTGATGTCTCGGCACATGAAACTTTTTTTCTCTCGGTCGTTACAATATGTGGTTACGTCCTGCGACGCGCCCGTGAGTGAGTTAGCTGTTTAATTATATTCAAACCATAAGTTATCCATGTGTTTGATTGTACTCAAACCGTAAGTTAGCCGTGCATTTAATCATACTCAAACCGTAAGTTAGCCGTGCGTTTAATCATACTCAAACCGTAAGTTATCTGTCTGTTTGATTATACTCAAACCACAAGTAAGCCGTGTATTTAATCATATACTTAATGTAAACCGTATTAAACTTTGATCGTTCGTGGCCTCGTTTCAGTAAGCACCTCGCAGTGTCTCGTGGAGAAGGGAGCCATATTAAGCTTTGATACAAACTGTATAAAGCTTTGATACAAACCGTATTAAACTTTGATCGTTTGCGGCCTCGTTTCAGTAAGCACCTCGCGGTGTGTGTCAAGTCTCTCGTGGAGAAGGGAGCCGTATTAAGCTTTGATACAAACCGTATAAAGCTTTGATAAAAACCATATAAAGCTTTGATACAAACCGTATTAAGCTTTGATACAAACCGTATAAAGCTTTGATACAAACCGTATTAAGCTTTGATACAAACCGTATAAAGCTTTGATACAAACCGTATTAAGCTTTGATACAAACTGTATAAAGCTTTGATACAAACCGTATTAAGCTTTGATACAAACTGTATAAAGCTTTGATACAAACCGTATTAAGCTTTGATACAAACTGTATAAAGCTTTGATACAAACCGTATTAAACTTTGATCGTT